TATCTTCAGTCGGACCTGTTTCCTTGCCAGAACATTGACTCAGACTTACAACATGCTATCTTCAGTCGAGCCCTGTTTCCTTGCCACAACATTGACTCAGACTTACAACATCCTATCTTCAGTCGGACCTGTTTCCTTGCCAGAACATTGACTCAGACTTACAACATGCTCTCTTCAGTCGGACCTGTTTCCTTGCCACAACATTGACTCAGACTTACAACATGCTATCTTCAGTCGGACCTGTTTCCTTGCCAGAACATTGACTCAGACTTACAACATGCTATCTCTTCAGTCGGACCTGTTTTTCCTTGCCAGAACATTGACTCAGACTTACAACATGCTATCTTCAGTTGGACCTGTTTCCTTGCCAGAACATTGACTCAGACTTACAACATGCTATCTTTTCAGTTGGACCTGTTTCCTTGCCAGAACATTGACTCAGACTTACAACATGCTATCTTCAGTTGACCTGTTTCCTTGCCAGAACATTGACTCAGACTTACAACATGCTATCTTCAGTCGGACCTGTTTCCTTGCCAGAACATTGACTCAGACTTACAACATGCTAGTACAACATTTTTCTTGCCATCTCAGACTCAACATTGGACCTTGTTTCCTTGCCAGAACATTGACTCAGACTTACAACATGCTATCTTCAGTCGGACCTGTTTCCTTGCCAGAACATTGACTCAGACTTACAACATGCTATCTTCAGTCGGACCTGTTTCCTTGCCAGAACATTGACTCAGACTTACAACATGCTATCTTCAGTCGGACCTGTTTCCTTGCCAGAACATTGACTCAGACTTACAACATGCTCTCTTCAGTCGGACCTGTTTCCTTGCCACAACATTGACTCAGACTTACAACATGCTATCTTCAGTCGGACCTGTTTCCTTGCCAGAACATTGACTCAGACTTACAACATGCTATCTTCAGTCGGACCTGTTTCCTTGCCAGAACATTGACTCAGACTTACAACATGCTATCTTCAGTTGGACCTGTTTCCTTGCCAGAACATTGACTCAGACTTACAACATGCTATCTTCAGTCGGACCTGTTTCCTTGCCAGAACATTGACTCAGACTTACAACATGCTCTCTTCAGTCGGACCTGTTTCCTTTTTGGCAGAACATTGACTCAGACTTACAACATGCTATCTTCTTCAGTCGGACCTGTTTCCTTTCCAGAACATTGACTCAGACTTACAACATGCTATCTTCAACGGACCTGTTTCCTTGCCAGAACATTGACTCAGACTTACAACATGCTATCTTTAGTCGGACCTTTTTCCTTGCCAGAACATTGACTCAGACTTACAACATGCTATCTTCAGTCGGACCTGTTTCCTTGCCAGAACATTGACTCAGACTTACAACATGCTATCTTCAGTCGGACCTGTTTCCTTGCCAGAACATTGACTCAGACTTACAACATGCTATCTTCAGTCGGACCTGTTTCCTTGCCAGAACATTGACTCAGACTTACAACATGCTATCTTCAGTCGGACCTTTTTCCTTGCCAGAACATTGACTCAGACTTACAACATGCTATCTTCAGTCGGACCTGTTTCCTTGCCAGAACATTGACTCAGACTTACAACATGCTATCTTCAGTCGGACCTGTTTCCTTGCCAGAACATTGACTCAGACTTGACATGCTAGTTGGACTTTTCTATTGACTCAGACTTACAACATGCTATATCTTCCCGGATCTTCAGTTGGACCTGTTTCTTTTCCAGAACATTGACTCAGACTTACAACATGCTATCTTCAGTCTTCAGTTGACTCGGACCTGTTTCCTTGCCAGAACATTGACTCAGACTTACAACATGCTATCTTCAGTCGGACCTGTTTCCTTGCCAGAACATTGACTCAGACTTACAACATGCTATCTTCAGTTGGACCTGTTTCCTTGCCAGAACATTGACTCAGACTTACAACATGCTATCTTCAGTCGGACCTGTTTCCTTGCCAGAACATTGACTCAGACTTACAACATGCTATCTTCAGTCGGACCTGTTTCCTTGCCAGAACATTGACTCAGACTTACAACATGCTATCTTCAGTCGGACCTGTTTCCTTGCCAGAACATTGACTCAGACTTACAACATGCTATCTTCAGTTGGACCTGTTTCCTTGCCAGAACATTGACTCAGACTTACAACATGCTATCTTCAGTCGGACCTGTTTCCTTGCCAGAACATTGACTCAGACTTACAACATGCTATCTTCAGTCGGACCTGTTTCCTTGCCAGAACATTGACTCAGACTTACAACATGCTATCTTCTTCAGTCGGACTTTTTCCTTGCCAGAACATTGACTCAGACTTTACAACATGCTATCTTCAGTCGGACCTGTTTCCTTGCCAGAACATTGACTCAGACTTACAACATGCTATCTTCAGTTGGACCTGTTTCCTTGCCAGAACATTGACTCAGACTTACAACATGCTATCTTCAGTCAGACCTTTATCCTTGCCAGAACATTGACTCAGACCTTGACTGCTATAATGGTTTTTACTTGTAGTGAGAGTCATATAAGCAGTGGAAGGAAACCCCTCTGTACATACTGTTATTAGTTCCAAGTATTGTGATGGTTATTCATCCCAACCTGGGTTTATCACAGATACATGGTAACTAGTAACCCATGTGACTTAGCTGGTCTGCCGAGGTTGTCACTAAGTCCAGTCACAGGTCTCAAGGCACTACAGAGTACTCAGAACAAGGGGCCAGACAATATGTATAAAACTGTAACCTTTGACTTGTTCACCAAAGGTCTGAAGGCAGTACCAGTATCTGAAGAGGACCTGCAGAGGCCACTCCTTTAAAAGGAATGGTATTGGGGACCTCTGGTAGCCTTTGGTAGCCTATTATCATATTATCTCATGGTTAATGGAGTTTGGAGGTTTAACATTGTGTTATATTTGTGTAATTCCCATACATTAATAAGTTACCCCCAAATTGTGTCTTAACAGTTAAAAGATAAGAAATTAGTTACATCAATCGGAATATGTATTACAATATTTATACTTCTCCTGTTGTATTACTTTTACTCTAAAGCCTGCCCTGCCTTCCCCAGTCTCATAGGTTGCGGTGCTGATATCCATTTAATTTTGTTAATGTAATAAATATTGACCCGTAAATCGTACTATATATGGTTTGTTTAAATGACAGTGTAGGCATTCATTGTTTTCTGTCAGAGATCAAGAGATTTAAATGTTGACATTGACAGAAACAAGGTAATTGTGTGATTTGACCTATCATGCAGCAACCAAAGGGAAACACCCTGTATGTCAGTAGTTCACCTGTTAGGCATCTTGTAAACATTCATATCTGGGCCCCGTTTTACTAAACTCCCGTAAGCCTAAGATCTCGTAACTTTTCTTGTTGCATTCATACCTCCTATACTGTAACATATGAGTACAAATGCTACGAGAAAAGTTACGAGATGTTAGGCTTACGAGAGTTTAGTGAAACAGGGTCCTGGACCAGACAAACTAGTGACTAGTTGACCAACATTGCCTGAGCTGGCTGAAGCACAGTCCATAAAGCCTGATCACCATAGGACAATCACTGGTTGCTAATGGCATATTCTAACCAGGAGGGTGAGAGGACAACTATTGCAGTGGTCAAATTTTTTATCTACATTGACTCAAAGCAGTTAACAACTAACCAGAGAGTGTATTTGCAGATCCCATTTTTGCAGATTTACTACTGTTGATCGTGCATTACACATAAGTAAACATGTGGGGCATTGTAAACTGAATCCCAATGTGAAAGGTATTTTTTGTAAATGCTCACCTTCTCTAGAAATTTAATTTAAGTCATCAATCTTCTAGTCCAGGAACCTGTTCTCCTAAAATAGGTTCTGCTTGATCTCTGACACAACATTTAACTGTTCTGTATGGTTTTAATAAGTGCCCCCTTTGTTAGTTTTCTAACTTTTCAAGGTGCTTATTAAATTCAATATGGTAGTTAAAGAACAAATAAACTTTGTGTTTTTTTACTCTTTTAACCATTACATTAGAAAGATTTGTGGTTAGACTTATGCGGAACACCAAATTCATTCTTAAAAAACTTGTGGTTAATTAATACCGAGCGATTAAAAGTTGCCAAAAAGTCGCCTGCTTCACTCTCGCCCGCCAATGAAACCACAGACAGGTTACGTAATTCTGTCGCCAGAGCACTGCAGTGACGTCATATGAGGAAGGATTTTCAGTTAGTTGTATATAAAGTGTGAAGCAAGTTCGTCATTTTGATGATTTCTCGACATCAACGAAAACATGCCGAATCGTTGCGTTGTCGTCAATTGCTCCTAGGGGTCGGGCGATGGTGTCACCATGCACAGATTTCCACAGGACCCCGCAGTTCAAGACAATCAGACAAGAACTACCGGGGCTGTTTTCAAATAACTGCATCTGATGGGCATCGCCCTTCTTAATGTCGCACTGTTTAGGTTGAAGAAATTAACCATAACCGTGATGAGCGAGGCTGATCATCGTTTTCACTATCACTTGCGTCTGGCTTGATCAAATAAGACCTAGCGACACCAAGCGATTTTGACAGAATTGTCTATGAAAACAAGTTGTAACTGGGAAACTAGGCAAAGCAGGAGACAAAATTAAGTGACAGTAGATTGTGAGAACATATAGCTTTCATTTTTCACAACAGTTGTCAAGATTTCAGGTTTACACAAACCTGTAAACAAGATACCGGTAATTTAACCCTGAAATGTACATGAATTCTGCATCGGCCCTCATATCTATTCCTCATATGACATCACAGAGACGCGCCGCTCTGGTTGGTTGAAATTTTGTTTGCGGGTGAGAATTGTGCAGTGTTGTCAAAAAGGTCAATTTAAGTTAATTAAAGATCGAAATGAGTAGTTTTAATGACGGGGTTTCATTTATAACGATGCCAATTAGTGATTTATATATTTGTATCCCCCTAGAGTATATGTGATCTTTAATTAAAATATTACTTAAATGCTTCTTTCAGAAATTCACCCTTGAGTGTGGAATTTGCTACTCCTACAGACTTGGTGAGGCTATTCCTGACAATGTGTGTGGTGATCAGTGTTGTGGGCAGACCTTCCATCATCAGTGTCTGTATGAGGTACTTAAATAGTCTCATTGGTTTCAACATAATTACATCATTCCAAGAAATAGGCTGTCATCATCATACTTCAATTTTTTTTAGGTTAACTGTCTATGACATAATGTGAGAGTGATGGTACCTGGCTTCCCAAAAAGCAAGAATGCCAGTGCATGTGTGTGTGAGGTAGGAAAAGGTCACTTCTTTCCTCTGCGTGCTTTCTTCATTATCTTAAAAGATGTCAGAGCTATTATTTAGTAGTTGCACTGGCAAATACAGCTTTGAGAAGCGAATGCAGAGTTTCATAATTTCATGAAAGAGTAAGTGAGTTTAGTTTTATGCCTCACTCTGCAATATTCCAGCTATATGGCGGCAGTCTGTAAATAATCGAGTCTGGACCAGACAATCCAGTGATCAACAGCATGGGCATCCATCTGCACAATTGGTAACCTATGACATGTGTCAACCAAGTCAGCGAGCCTGACCACCTGATCCCGTTAGTTGCCTCTTACGACAAGCATGGGTTACAGAAGGTTCATTCTAACCCGGACCTTCACGGGTCGAAAAGACAAAGAGATAACGCATGCTAAATGCACAGATACTTGCTAGTAGTCAGTTGGAGTAAAATATGGTCCAGTATTAGCAGAACTCATTTCAGCAATATTTGTCAGATTCCTTCATAAGTCCCCAAACATTTTCTATTGGATTTAGGTCAGGGCTATAGCTTGGCCAATCTAATAATGTCATATTTTGGGTCCGAAACCAGGCCTGTGAATGCTTTGAACAATGTTTTGGGTCGTTGTCCTGCTGGAAAATCCAAACAATTCCATAGTACACGTGAGCAGATGGAAGTAAATGTCCCTCGAGAATATCTGTGTACCGCTCACTGTTCATATTCCCTTCAAAAACACAGAGGGGCGGTGCCCCTAACACATATATGCCACTCCACACGTTAAATTTCGGACTGTACTTTGGGTGCTGATACAAAGGTTTTTCAGTTTGTTTGGTTCAGAATTTCAGTGTATTAGGAAACAGCCATACACAACTTTCATCTGAGAAAATCACATTGTCCCAGTTAAAATTTCTATGCTGTAAGCACCAGTTCAACCTTCGCTCCTTTTGTTCAGGTTTCATGATCGGTGATGGAATTCCTCGACTTTTCTGCCAACCCATTGCATGCAGCTCAGTTCTAAATGTCTCCTTACAGACAGTCACAGTTCCTCTATCAATCATATCCAGCCTTAAGTTTTCTAAACTCCTTCAGGTTGTTTTTAGAAACAAGAATACCTGCCGCCTCCTGTCACCGACAGTCAATTTTGTGGGCCTACCTGCGCCTCCCTGGTGCTCAATTCCATATCCATTTGCAATATTTTTCAAAACACGATAAACAGTGGACAAAGGGATGCCTGTTCTACTTGAAATCACTTTAGCTGATCTGATGTCCTTCTTATAATACTCTAAAATCAACTTCCTCTTCTCTAAATCATCCATACCGAGGATCACTGAAAATGTCGTCTGCTAGCAAGTAAACAAAGGGGGATAACTCTTCACAAACTAATGAAAAAGGATTAATGGAGTTGTCTCTCTTGAATGAAAACAAGCACTTAATAGCTGGTCAAGGTTGTTTATACTAGAAATCCAAATAAACATATTCCTAAAATTCTCAATAATTTCTGGTCATACTATATGTTATGTGCATAACTTTTTAATGTTCGAGAAAGAGACTATTTTCTCTACTCTATCTTATAAATACTGTTTATATGGCTCCTGTTATGGATTAATGATTTGAACCTACTTTATATCCGCCTCTGATCTGACACTCAGTTTGAGTGTATCTTCAGTTGACATATTATTCTTGTAAGACTAGTTAGTTTGCCTGTGATACAGCTGAAGAAGACTTTGATCATTTTCTTACCTTAGATATGAAGTTCATGGTGGTGGTGGCATTTTGTTTTGTGTTAGGCAGGAGTAGTTGCCCCCATCTGTCTATCCTCCCAAGTTTGCCCTGATGTGTTATTTCAACACTGTCAATCTGAATACAGAGTGACAGAGAACACACCAGAGAGGGAGCAATCTGTTGGAACAAGGAATAGACTTGTAATGGAGACGATCGTCAGCCTTCATCTACAATAACAGATAGAGCAAATTCTGCCAGCGGCAAAGAAAAATGAATTTGGACCTGTAACTATGTCTCCTGTGGCATGTTTCCTGATTACATCAGTGCGAGGATGAAAAGGTCCATCAGAGCTCCATTGAAAGATACAGTTCTGCTCTAACCTCACACCTCCAGGACGATGGACTGTCTGTAGATCTCCCTGTCCTCAACAGACTAATGAAATTCTTCTGTTGGAGGATGTGAAGACCCCACTGACATTCGCGAAATGGAACTCATACATCATCTGTTCTTTTTGAGGAGGTTACAAACCTGTAGTATCTGCTACATTGTTGGCCAAGACTAAGAAAACATTATTCCTTCCCACTAGCCATGGCCATAGCAGACTTGATACACTCAACATCTCAGGCCTAAAGCATCAAAAAGGCTGGAAATCTATAACCATCAAAATTTTACCTATTCTTTCCGGCTGTAGACAAGGTGACCCTTTGTCACCATATATCTTCCTACTATGTGCTGAAATACTATCAGCTCTTATTAAAAAAAATGAAAATATAAAGGGTATAGTGGTAAATAACATAGAATACTTGATCCCTCAATATGCAGATGACACAGAATTTATCCTGGATGGCTCAAGGAAATCGTTCGAAGGGGTCAATGACACACTAGATCTGTATGCACAAATCTCTGGACTTAATATTAACTATGATAAATCAGAAGTGATTTGGATAGGAAGTTGTAGAAATAGTAATGCTAAATTCAGACCAGACCTGAACCTACGTTGGAACCCAGAAAAGATCTTGGGGATAATTTTCTCGACTGATATTAACAAGATGATTAAGCTAAATTATGAAAGTAAGCTATATTAAATTGAAGAGATTATGAAACGATGGATGAAGAGAACTATAACCCCTCTAGGTAAAATTGCTATTATCAAGTCACTGCTCATTTCCAAATTAAATTTCCTTTTCCTTACTCTGCCCAATCCACCTAGTGTTTTCTTTAAAAAGTTAAATAGTATGTTATTTAGTTTTCTCTGGGATAACAAACCTGACAAAATTAAACGAACAGTAGTTTGTAGACCAATTGCTGACGGTGGGCTTGGCATGATCGACATATATGCCTATGTCGATGCCCTGAAAGTAACATGGATTAGAAAACTACTACAACAAAACTATGATAGAAAGTGGAAACACCTACTGATAGAAACACTCCCACAATATTTAAACCTTACACTGTTTGGTAGCGAATTTCCACACAAGCTTTTAAAATCTATACAGAATATTTTCTGGAAAGATACTCTGAATGCGTTTGCCAATTATAGCTATAAAAATAAACCAAATACCTATGAAGATTTTCTTAGGGAACCCCTTTTGTATAACAGAAACATAATTATAGATGGCAAATCTTTCTACAGAAAAACATTTCAAGAACATGACATTATTAATATTCATTGTCTACTGAATGATGGTGGTAACTTTATGACGCTTGTACAGTTTTGTCATAAATTCTACAATATAAATTTTACTGAATTTCATGGAATTCTAAAAGCAGTTAATAAGTACCTCAAAGCTACAGGGATTAAAAAAACCTCATATGTGATGTTAGATAACCTTATAAACATTAATATGAATAATCTTTTTTCGTGTAAAAAAGGATCAAAGTGCTATTATTTTAAAATCACTGAAGGTGTAGAAAAATTGAAGATCATCGAAAAATGGGAAGATGAAACCTTGATTAATATTAATTGGAGCCATATCTTTATAAAACCTTTAAGACAAGTCCCGATCCCAAATTAAGACGGATGCAATATAGGTTGCTTCATAGAATATTTCCAGTAAATACATGCTTGATTAAAATGAATATTGTTGATAATAATCAGTGCACATTCTGTGGGAGTGAGCCTGAAACTATACTTCACCTTTTCTGGAACTGTAGAATAAGTAAACAATTTTGGCAAATGCTTTCTCAGTGGATTGAACAAAACTGCTCACACACAGGTATTATTAATTTCCAGGTTGATCTGATCCTTTTTGGTTGTTCATCCACTTTTCAAACCGATGATATTTTTCATCTCATTTTGCTACTTGCCAAATATCATATATATAGATGCAAGCTGCAACAGAAATCACCAACCCTATCCCATTTTAAGAAAGAATTAAGATACTATTATTTGATAGAAAAAGCTAGACATTGTAAAAAAGCTATGCTTAATGACTTTGAAAGGAAATTGGCCATTTATCGAAACTTAATTAATGAAGAAATATAAGAACTTTTGTTGTTGAGTATAGTTCATGTCTCATTCTTAATATTTTATCTTATGTCATCAGAATCGGCTAAGGGACAATCTGCCAAAATGTTAGTTAACTGTGCATAATTAGAATTTTGTATTCCAAAGATTTTTCACATCCTGTTGTGTGGAAATAATTATGGTATCGATACAAACTGCTGTGAGTGTATTTGTAGTAAATGTCAGCGACACGTTCACCTATAAATTAAATAATATCAAGTACCATTGTGGTCAGATTTGAACAGAAGCCTCTAGGTGTTTCTGGATTGGACATTTTCAAAAAGCCTGCTGCTGGCTGTAGCTATAGCTATAGAAGAGTGACAACAAGGGAATTGGAGATATATTTTTTTAACCTGACTTATTTCTTTTATGTTTGGAGACACGGAACGTCTTGCCAACTTTCTACAAATTCTAGAATACTAGAACTGAAACAGTCATCTTGAAATCATTCAAGAATGAGAAAACGTGAGCTTGTTACCTGCTGCTACCACTTATTTGACACACTGAATTGTCCTTTTGATTGTAAAAATAAAATTGTTTGTTCTTACATTATGTTTTTATTATTCATTAATCTTGTCATTTACTTTCTTCAAAATTTAGTTTAATACATACAGATTTAATTGGATAGCCTCAGTGTTAATGTTAGATATTGATGCCTTCTCTGTTACTAGTGGTTACGTGGATTACCATCCAGCCGACAGAGCTTTAACAGGATCTATGGAGAGTGCCCCTTCTGTAGCAAGGTAAGGTTGCTGTAAAATATTGACTTGAATTTACTTGAAGGAAGTACCAATAAACTCTGGGGTAAAGTCATAGCTGATTACCTGCCACAGTGCATTCACACAAAGTTCAGGAGGTTTGACTCAGTGTGTCCATATCTTTGTGTGAATCATAGTTATTGTCAGTAGGTAAGCTCAGCAACTTGAGAATGATGACCAGACCCTCATTAGCTAAGAGGAACAATTTGTCGTTTGTCTATTACTGTACTTGAGAGCATAATGATAACATCAACAAAATGTAGCAAGAATATTTTCATAATATTCAGGTGTAATTGATTCCCCCATCACAATTACATCAACAAGTTCATTTATAAAGAACAAGAGAAACTCTTCAGATTCGCAGTAGAACATTTCTGAATATATACCTTTATTTCTTGCATGACATTTTCATCTTGATAGATATTACACAGAAATTATTGTTTTAGATTTTGTTACTTATCCTATGAAAACAAAATAAAAAACATATTTTTTTCTTCATACTGAATACTGGTGGTGTGTGGTCCTGTGCATAGAGCTCAGGTCACAAATCAGTTGAAGTTAAGCAACGTTAGGCAGCTTGACTCCTGTGAGTTTCATGTGGTGTCACCTTAGGCAAGTGAGTTTGTTCAAATATTGCCTCTGTTCACCCAGCAGAAAATGGGTACCCGGTGAGAAAAGTCATGTGACTATAACCTAGCACCTCACAGCCAGCTTGGGTTACCTGGGGTAATAATGTGCTGTGCTTTGATTGTTAGCGCTATGAACATTCACCTAGTGAATGGAGTTTAGTGCATTACAAATGCAATATAATAATAATATAATAATAATATAATCAAATGCTTCAGAGAAGTCCACAACACCTTTATGCAATTTCCACATTTGCCCTGTCTGTCTGTCAGAATGAATGTGATATCTGTAGTGGAGTACCCATGTCGAATTTCCACTTGTTCTCTGCCAATGTTTCTCAGCTTCACACCAAAGTACCACTAAGTACATTTTTAAAATGTTCAAATAATTTATATATATCAGTCTTTTTCATTTCTTTTTTTGTTTTTGTTTGTGTTCTTCAGGAAAGAATAGGTGGGTTTGTTTTGCTCTACAAACACCTTTGTACTTATTTCTGGTTGCAGTGTAGATTGATAGTGACTCTTCATCTTCATGTCATTTCAATGCATTGATCCAAAAAGCAAAACTTCAGAGGAACATTCAGGTGTTGCAAATACCCAATTTTTCAAGAAGAAACAATCAATTCCTCCTACAAATATATAACATGACAATGAGTTGTCCGAGATTGTCTCTGATAGAATAGTGAATGTCAGAGACACACAGTTGCAAGCACCAATGATAGTTGCTAGTTTTAGAATTGCAGTATCAAATATGAGCTGCAAGAACCAAGATTCCTATCATTTTATCAAGGGATGGTGTTCTTCTCGTGTGTGTAGGATCAGACGGTATTATCTGTTGGATTGCCTCATCCACATAACACACTCACCACAACCAGCTTACAAATAACAACCATCCGAACAGTTCAGATCTTGACATGGCACCATTGTGCGAGGTTTTTGGAACTGTTGAGTTTACCATCTGGACATTGTTGGAGGTAGCCAAGGACTGCTTGATTGTGTGAGACTGCTGTTAGGTTAAAGGAGAATACGAGTGAATTGCAATAATTTGATGGGTGAAAGATAAAGTCATCAGAAACATATTCCCAAATTTTCAATTAAAAATTATGTATAATTATGTTTTAATCGCGAAAACAGTTTCTGTAAATCTCAGCTTCGGCCATTATGCATAGTTCACTGGAACCCACGTGACCTTTCCGCTCATGATGTCAAATGTGCTTGTAGTCCGCCATATTGCCAAAGACCAAGCGCTACAGTCGTACAAATCCTGTTGTTTCCGTCGTTTTTTTAATGGTACGATGGTGTATTGCGTTGCCTGGGGATGCACGGCATCATCGAACATGGGAAAGCACCACCATTTCTTCCGTTTTCCAAGTGAAATAACAGATTTCGGCAGGAGAAATGCGCCGATCATTCCGAGTCGGACGCATATGAAAGAGACATGCACGCATGGGGTATGGAAATACCCAAGCTAGGCTGAAGAAGGAAAAAGTACCCACGAGATTCATTAATTATACTCCATCATTCCCTGTAACAACTTACTGTCAGTGGTATTTTAACATAAATTAAATCAAGTCCGATTGCCAGTCGAATTGCCCCCGCTACAAAATGACCCAGCAAATTTGGTCAATTGCCCCAGTGGGGTAGTCAAAATGCCCCAATTTATTTAAAATGAATAAATATAGGCCATAAATGCATAGTTTTGTCAACTTTGATATTATGTTCTTCATATATAAGTATATACATAGTTATGAGTTTACTGATGAAACATTTATCAGAAATATTACTTCCTAATAACTTTTATATGAAGAACATAATATCATAATAAGTTGACAAAAACTATGCATTTATGGCATATATTCAATCATTATAAATAAATTTGAACAAATTAGAATGAATGGCCAAATTTGCTGGGGCATTTTGTAGCTGGGGCAGTTCGACTGGTACACAGCGATATATACTGAAAGGCAAAAGAAACGTCGTAATATTAGAAATGACATTTGAGTATCAATGGAGTATTTGTACCTATTTTTTTAAATATACACCAGAAGTCAAGTTTGAGGAAACATGAATCGTGGTCGTATAGCCTGCATTGCCCAATAAAGTTTTGTTTGAGATTGAAGTTAGAAATGTTTTTGGGTGACCATAGGAAACCACCAGCGACCAGTCAGTGACCTACCATTCGGCGACGTCTCCAAGCCAGGAACCTGTTTTGTCGATGTCCTGCCAGGAGACCCATATTCACCTAACGTCACCGCCGGGAACGTATCCAAGTGGACACAACAGCGGCAAAACTGTCATGGGGGAAAATGGAGAGGGGTTATCTTCTCTGATGAAAGTCGATACTGCATTTCAGTGGCGTATTATTTTAAAAAATAGGTTCAAATGTTCCATTGATACTTAAATGTCATTTCCAATATTACGACGTTTCTTTTGCCTTTCAGCATATATTATCAAAATCAGTAAGAGATTATACATGAGCTTGAAAATGTTTCGCTATAACGTTCTTTTCGGTTTGGAGCCCTAAATGATGCAGTCAACTCGAAACATTGCCGAATACAACGGCAAATCATGAAGTACTTGTTGCTTTCATTGTTTTCCATTTTGTCCAATTACGCACGTCAGCATCAGACTCGCTATTTGTCAGTAGTGTGTGCCGTGAAAGTTGTTCTGTATTCTCATTGGCTGACAGGATGTCATTCTAAGGCTATGACCGAGTACCATAACTATTTCCATAACCAAACAATGGGAAAACATACGTTGTCCTGACTAGTGTTTTATATTTCACCAGTTTTCGGGGAATAACTTATCTGCGTCGCGAATATTATCTCTGCTCGACCAGGCTGGGATCTTGTATCGAGACTTGATACGTTATTAATGAGAACTAGGATCCTAATTTTTTTCAACAAAATAATTCCAGTGTAATTTTTGAAGCAGATTATTTTTATTTTCCCTCGTCTGAAGCATAATTATTTTATTTTTAAATCCCAGACACCCTACAGTCACCCATTTGACACAAAATGAACTGTAATCACATTTTTTTAAAAATAATTCTTAGTGACTGGTCATATATTTATAGGGGTGAGTTTGCTGGCTGGAACTGTATGACATTTTGCTGACAAATAGTAATCTTGTTAAATTATATGGTCTATTTTTAAATTTATTTTGACCTTACGTCGTAAATATTTACCAAGTGATTTCAAAACGAATATGCATAATTTTAAGAAACTACTTATGACAAATAACGTACATAGTTTGAAAATGCTCAGCCTATATATAATGCATTCTTATGAATGAAGATATAAGCTATTACAAGAATGATAATATTAAATACCATATTATACTTTTGTATTATCATATCATATCTTTATCTACTTTATCCATATTAACCTGTATTGTATGTTCAGATTACCTGTATACATGTATACAGATGGGCGTGTATATACATATATGCAAATTGTATTATAATGTATGAAACTGTACGTATATGGGCCCGATGGCCTTTGTACAGAAATAAAGTGTTGATTGATTGATTGACCTCAAGCGGTGCCTCCGTTTCGCTTGATTCTTCTTCTTCATCTTCAGTGGAAGATTGTCTTGCAAGATGTAAAATCGGATCGTATTGATACGGTCTAACATCCATTTCAGAAATGACATCAGGAACATCTTTTACTGCTCAGAATCCACAGACACTGTTAAGTTGTGAGGTAAAATCAAAGAGAAAGCCATCAGCAACAGGCACTTATGACGTCATGTCACGTGATACCCCCTCTGCTCATTAACTGTCGGGTGTTTCCGTAATAGGCGGAAATACGAGTACATTTTTGTGTTTTTATTGCTATTTTACAAACATTTTGTTCAATTTTAATCACGGAATGTGACTTTTAGAATATCCTTTACAATATATCAAAAGTTTTGTTTTCATTCGTATTCTCCTTTAAGGCTGGTTATTCAAATCCATGGAGAACAGTCTATGCATGCCTTGGGTCAAGACAAGGATTTTCAGAATTCACAGTCAAATAACAATGACCTAGGACACTCTTTGTCAAATGAAACTTACTTGTACCCAGTGCAACCTCAGGTAAAAACCTTGTTGCACCAGACAAAAACAGGTTGCGCCTGCTACTCAATATAAAATTATATGTAATGCTTAGGTTTTGGTACTTCTGATTTAGAACATCACTATAACAAAATTATTCTGGGTCTGATGAGATCATTTTATTTTACATCATACGATTTCATGACATGAACAGTAGGTCTCATTCGGTCTCTGTCTGTGTAGTCACTGCTCCAAACCAGTTCTTCACGCTGTTTTCCAGATGAGCTTTGTGCTCATCGAACGGCATAATATTAACATGCACTGGGTGTAATTGGTATGAGCATGAGGCTGCATTTTACAGTTTCATGTTGCACCAGTGCAAGTTTTAAATAATTAAATTGGGCTCTGAGCCCTTCTGGTGTGATGACACTCAAAGTGCATGATGGTAGTGATGTAATAAATGTAACATTCTCTTAATTTCATCAGTGATAACTTATACGTGATTGCTGCCAGAATTCTACTGCACATTATCCATGGAAGGGTCTGTGAGCATTACAACTGAGACAACGTACTGGTCCAATGGTTGTGCTGTTTGCACCTCATGTTTGTTCAAAATGCCAATAAATGTATTCTAACTGGTGACCTAAAGCAGCAAACCATCAACAGAAAGCAATGGCCAGCCATAAGTCATTGATCTTGTCCCACAGAGCACACCTGGAAAATGGTAGGGACACTTATATATCTAGGCCACCTACCAAGTTAACCAAACTGGACTAGGCCCTGCAAAAGGCAACATGACTTCATCAGCATAATCAGCTGACTGTCATGTTACATCATGTTCTACCTATTTCTTTTTCCATTTTCCATCTCAGTTCCATCTCTCAGTACCAATTTGTATTTCTGTCATCGTTTTCAAATGTCTTCTTGTGTTTTAAAGGATTAATGTATTTCCTCCATAGGGAGATCACAGGTATATTGCTCATACAATTTTGGACAGTAGAAAGACATTTACAGCATATCAAAAATGATAGCAGATAAAAAAGATGGTAATTTCAACTAAGTGCAAAAACAAGATATTTAGTGAAACTGTGGATTCAGTTTAAATGTTACTTTTCACAGTAATGCAAGTAGTGATAATAGACATTCATGGTCTGTATCTGCTGACTGACAAATCACCCTCACAGTCATGACGGACACTGCACACAAATCATGAAAGTTGTTCTTGCATCCACCATTAAAGTTCTGGGTTAAAACTGGTCACCAACCAATGCTTCATGTAAGAGGCAAGGAGGCGACTGATGGGATCATCTGGTCAAACTCACTGGCTTGGTTAGCACATGTCATCGTATCCCAATTGTTCAAATTGACGATCATGATGTTGATTACTGGATTGTCTGGTCCAGACTCTATTATTCACAGACTTACCCAAAATAGCTGGAATATTGCCAGATGTATCTGCATACAATTCATTGTTGCATGGTCTTCCAAATAGATACTGTTTTAGACTAATGTCCCTTTGTTTATAGTGCTCAAAGTCACTCCACAATCTAAAGGAAAACTAACTAACTCTAAAATGGTTGCATTAGCACATGTCTGATTTGATCAGAGTATGTAGTGTTACACAAATTGTCTCTGTGTTCTGGGGAATGAGTTACGTGTGCATACACAATTGTAAAGTCTGTTTCTAGCAAGGGGCCACACTATGGCTGGGCCCAGTTCTGGGTGGAGCATTTTAAACCTTGAGAAATCTGGCTCACAGTCCACACATGTATTCTGTAATGAAATCTGGTCTGAAAGTTTCATTCAACGGTCTTTTCCAGGAAGTTTTAGCTGGTAGTCAGTCATAGTTCCAGAAATGTACAAATTCAGTATTCCATGGAAAGTTAATGTTGTCTGCCCAGTTTGGATCACAGTGGATCAGTGATGGTTCGCTCAAGATTAGTATTTTGCATTGTACAGGTAATCTAATGAATCACTTCTAGGGGAACCCAAAATCATTTTGGATCAGATGTCAAGATGGATGTATAAGTTTCTGTTAACTGTGACTTCAGGATCTGTGTAATCTTTTCCCATGTATTCATGTATAGCATTGAGCATTACTAGCTAGTTATGTTGTTCACAAACATAACATCCAGTGCTGCTGTCAGATTATTTCAGTGAACAATATTAAATACCTTATCTACCAGATAAATTGCCAACATCCAATTGTAATCTTCTCTGAATTATCCAGCTCAGTAACCTGTTCATGCTGCTTGTTATAACTTCCCGTCAGCGGGCAGCAAGAATAAAGCAGAAAGTTATGTTTTACTTTGTGATATTTGAAGGCAGTAACAAAATTACATATATGTGATTAATTGGTATACTAAATTACCTCCTGAGATGATTCACCATTATTGCAGTGAATTTACATTGTAAAAGTAGATATCTTAAATAAATAAGGACGTAATTGGACAATTTCTGATATGTCCAACTGAAAAGAAACGTGACAATTTTGTCAGACCAAAATATGCTGAGATCCTTACTAAAGTACTGTCGGAAATGCTAGAAAAATGCTTTTTGACTTATATTTAAAATTCAGAGATATTATAGTTACTTAAATAACAAATATCACTTCAAGAAACATCTACCTAATGTAGACCGAGGGAATAAATTTTGAGACATGCTCTAAAATGTGTTTTTACTGATGAAAATACCAAAAACTTAGAAAAATAAGTGGTAGTGGGACGTTATTTGAAACAAACATTAACTGCCTGTGTTACGTCATCAGCATGCACGCTATCGACAGGTGAAATTGACACCTGAGCACGCTGGCTCGGCGAGGGTCATCTCAATAGATGTTTTCTGCAAAATGTTGAATATGTGTATTATAGTATACATTATCAGTTATGTAAGGGATCATTTGTGTATGTGTGGGTTTTTTTAAATAAACATACGAATTACTGTACATTGGAAAGAATCCTATCACTTGTGTTATCTTATCGATTGATTGTAGAAATGTGCAACGTTTTAATAAATGTTTTGCATGTCAACAGTTTATTTCAATGAAAAAATATGGATGTAATTCGGGCAGTTTAATCTAGTTGTGAACATTGGCCAAAGATTTAACGAAGTCACTGGTGTAGCTTCTTTAGAATATATATATTTTTCTTCTCATAAAGTTTGTAGACCGCCCGTCTAAGCACTCCCTTGTCAAAGTTGTCAAGGATGGTTTTACGTCCCGGTTTTGCATTTGAGACGGTCCCTGTCTTGTCTGATTTGTTTACAATATTGTAAACTTGTTGGTAAGACATGCCAACAGCTCTACACGTTCTGTAATTAACCCTTTCTAAACTAATGAAAGGTTTACCTGTGTCTTTCTTAAGCAGAAAAAAGCCTATAAACCTTTGCAACAATCGACTGCAAATCGTTGGCCATAGTGGACACTGCGATAAAGATGTGCATGCATGACGGGAAACTTATTTATCAAGACTTAACATTTATATTAATATTTCTTCAATAAAGAAAACGATAATTAAGTAAAGTAACACAAACATTCAACATTTATTTGTTTAGGAAAACGTTAATTTATATTTTTACACCACCTGTATTATTAGCATAAATGTAAAGACTATTTCAGATTTCTGTTGTTGAACTCTGAAAAAATCTTAAGTTGCTGTTTTAGTACCAAATTCTCTCCTGTAACCTGCCCTTTAAATGCATCGGAATGTTAAATCGATTGAAATAAAAATTAGGTAGACAATAGGCGAGTTGATATATTGACAACATAGTATATTTATCCCCTTTATAAAGATATTAAGGCTAAAAAGCATTTTTCTAGCATTTCCGACAGTACTATAGGTTCCAACATTGATAGGGTTATGGTCAGTTCCAACTTAAGAAGAGATAATTCAGTCCAAACTGCTGCAATAGTTACATGATTAAATGTCACATTTCTGCTCTGTCACAACTACCGGTAGACTGGTACTTTGTTTAAGATGATGATTGTTTAACTTATGTGAATTGACAGAATTGGAGCATATTTGCTGTTCATATGTTCCCTCCTCAAAGACCAGCTCTTACTACCAGCTAATTCAAAGATTTTCAACAAATTCTGAGATGATAGGCCAGTTTCTGATAACTTACATGGATTCAGATAGGAGCATTGAAGAATTTTCCCTCTGGCCATTTTAAAGCTTTCAAGTGATCAAACATCTTGTACATCTTTGCCTTCAGCTGCTGTTTCTCCCTTGAAGTATCACCTTTTATGACCCCATCTCACATCCATCTGACATTTAATTTTGTTTTTACAGCCAATCACAGTCAAGATAGATGCGCCTTTTTGATGGTGGATTGATTCAGAAGCTCACACTTTTCTGTCAACCAGCACAGATGATGCAGGAGATTGGTTCTGCTATGATGCTTGAAATCTAGAGGGCAAATGCAAAGGGCCTGGTCAGTTATAGATTTAGTCTTATGACTGTGAGGCATATTTTGCTCTCTTTCAATGTATGCACACCCACTCAGAATAATACATGTAACAATGTGACAGACGCTACTTATGACACACAGAGTTTCCACCTCAAGCCTAATTACGTATAAAACGTTTATAAAATACATTCATCCTGTCATAAGAATGTCCAAATAATTGATATAATTTGCTTGGGGTGAGGTAATGTTAAGCAAAGTTTACAAACATTGGCCAAAATCCCTTACGTTCAATCAGCCTGATGGCAGTTTTTTCTGCTCGCCGTGTTCCCTGGTATCTTACAAAAATTGACCAGTCCCAATGATCACTTATAATAGATATAAGACTGTACTAAATTATGAAATAAACATGTTATACCTTGTTGATTCAGAGGTTTTCATTTATTATTGAAAAGAGTTGACATGCAACAGGTTTTAACATGCATGAATGGTATGCATTCTGAAAAGATCACAACATACTTTACAAGAGCAGGTGCAGCTAGTGATGTATGTCGAAATGACACAGATCTCATAAAAAACAAACAAATGAAAACATTGCTATTGCATGTGACTTTCACACCTTTCATCCTTGGCAGATTTTTTGCCTTTTTTAACCAGAATTGCCATTGAAATTAGAGAAAATTGACATGCCTTCATTGAAACAGACTGATGTTCTGTTTTCTGCCAGTTACAATGATTTATATCATATGATATGCATTTTGAAGGAAATTTCTGCTGCACACAGATCATCAACACTCAAGTTTACCAGTTCCAGTCATATTTTACTGGTCAACATCCAGTTTATGCCAGAGAATGGAAACACTGCATTGATTTTGACATGAATGGTCTTAATGTCTTAAAGCTTTATAAGTTTGCGTAGCAACCATTGTGTGATGTTCACGTACAAAAACTATGTGCATTATACTCCCAGCAAACATCCCAATTGTGAGCTGTGGATTAATAAGTCCATGCTAATTGGGAATCATGACCTTAAAGTCAAGGAGAATATTTACTGAAAGATGCATCATTAAATGGCTAAATGAACTGAACTTTGTATGAAGCACACTTACTTTTTTTTATATCCCCTGACCAAAAAGGGCCAAGGTATATATTTATACTAAGGAATTCTGTCCATCCATTTGAAGACATTTTGTACAACCAATAACTTGAAAATGATTGGTTGGATTGATTTCAATTTGTTTGACTGTTTTGACAAATTCTTTGTCTCAAGGAGAGGGGCAGTGTGAACTTTGGTTCTGATTTTCTATTCTTTTAAAGGATTGCATCAATTTACAATATTTTGAACTTTGAATAACCCAAGGGAACTTTTGTTCAAACAATAACTTTTGAATGGATTGTTTTCAAATTTTGGAATCACCCTCCATAGCTATAGAAGAGGTGCAGTGCTATTGTGATATTAATAATTTATCAAGATTTATCACAAATTTGATCCCTTTAGAAATATTTGGATGATATAATGGTGGCTTTTTATATTGTCAATGAATCATCTGTCTGTCCATCCATAATTATTTCCTTTCTGAAGCATAACTCAAAAACTGTTAGGTTTTTTCAACAAAAATTGGCAGATATATCAAACAGAACCTAAAGTAGTGCCTTTTGCTATTTTCAGATTTTTGGCATTTTTATTTTTCTTGATTTCCATGGAAATGATTTTTACTCAAAAGGGGTTTGGAGTAGGCTAAGAGTTTGTTTGCGGAGCACAACTAAAATTATCATGAGACACTTTTCATCCCAGCCTGCTACCTTTATTAACCAAGGGCTGAAGTGGTGTCTTTTGCGATTTAGGAATTTTAAAAAAATGAATTTGTTTCCATGGCAAGAAGTTTGACTTTGACTCTGTTCATATTGGTGTGTTTGTCCAGACCATATCTCTAAAAATAATAGGTATTCATTAATGAAACTGTGCACACACAAAGACCAGGCTGTCAATTGGTGCCTTGGTTTACCTGGGTTGTTAAGCATATATGTTTTGTCCGTTTCCATGGCAGCAAGTTTGATTTCTACACTGTTCAAAGTGTTTGTCAGGACCAGATCTCAAAAGGGTACTGGGTGTTCTTTCATGAAACTGTGCACAAACAAAAACCATGTTGTCAACTGCTGCCTTTAAGGCCAGACCAATTTTATTTCTTGTGTTACGGATCTGCTGGTTGTATTTTTTCAAGAATATGGAAAAAAGTAAAAATTAATTTTCCCCGCTCAAAACATTTAATCCTAATGTTAATGTGATATAAGTGAAATACTTTTGAAATCAGTGTGAAACCTAAACTCACTCAACTTATTTTTAGTTAATATAAACAAACCAAAAGAGTTAACATGGAAACTCATGTGGGTTTTTGCTTTTACTGGTGATTTTATTTATTTATATTTTCCCTCCTGCCTTTAGGTTTTCTGAAGACCAAAATCCATAAAGCAAGAAATAAAATTGGTCTGGCCTCAGGGATATTAAATTTTTCTAGTGTTGGAAAATTATACATTTATAGTATTGCAAGTTATGGTGTACTCTCAGACTGTGTTTTAAGGGAGGACAAGGCTCCAGTCTGTTGGGAGTTGCTGCACGTTCAATTCATACCTTTCATTTCATCTTCATTATTCAAATGACTTCAGGTGGAACCCCATCATCAAGATGATAATAATGTCATCTACTATTCCCCCAAGCCACGATATATAGTCAACAGCTGTGGAACTTATTCTAGTTAATTCCCTCAAATAGGTCTTTCTAACCCTTGATTGCCTTTTCCCTGAAACTGAATCCTCATGTTTAGCTTGATTTTTTAAAGTCCCTCAGGTACAAAAAGTGTCTCAACCTGTGGGAAAGTATTGTGCCCTCAGGATCCACTTAGAGATTGCTTTGAGTGTGTTGACACTGCTTGCCTTTTTATCCCCCACAACGCGTTTTGGTAGTTTTGGATTTCTGAATAAAATATTTCTGGCATTTTCATGGCAACAAGTTTGACATAGACTGAAATTGGTGATAGTGCTCCTTTCTGGAGCAGAACTATAAAAACCTTTCAATACTCTCCTTCCACTTTTCTATATACACACCTAAATATTTAACATAATCATAACTCGTAGACATAATCATGAAGAGTATTTTGCCATTGTGGGGGGATATTGATGACTTTGTCTTCTTGTTGTCATCTGCTGTGATGCTTGTCAGCTGCTGACTCCATCAGCTTTTTAGAGGTATATTCTGGTTCTTAAAAAAGGTCAAGAAAATAAGAAGATGAGGAAACTGTGCTGCAGGATCTCAGTCAAGGTGCTTGCGCACGCTGAGATGATCATATGCTATCAAATGGACTCAGGGTAACTAGGCGTCCCTCCTGTCTTCTCTGATCCTGGCACGTCTCATCCGTCTACCCCACTGGCCGTGAAACCCAAGTTTATCGCGGAGGAAGCCTTGTTGGCATCTCTGAAACCTTTTGGAGATTTGATAAAAGGTCTAGCAGATCCAAATCTCAAGAAAGGGTCTGTGTTCAGAAAAGAGCCAGGATGGAGTCACAGACCAAACCACCTGCTACTGTAACTACAGCTGAGGTATACCCTAAGACACAAGGCATGGACATCGACTTTATCGTACGGATCTTATCACAGAAAACATGGTCCGTAGGCGTTGGCTGATCCTGTTGGAGGACATCATAGCAGAGATAACAGGAGAGATGTTCTAGTTCAGGTTGCACAGGCAGTTTAGGCCATACAGACTGCACTGACAGTTTTTATAACAGAACACCGTCAACTTATAAGCAGGAGATAAGCTCCAACGACTGCATGGGCAGCTTGGACCATATGGGCCAAATATCACTAGCCCTACATTCCAAGATATGATGATATTATAAAGAGCATTTTACAGGACGCTTCAGAGAATCTGGATTTTCCATCTATAAAATTAAGAACGGAATGCTTAGACCACATATTTGCAGACAAGTTGGCTGCACTAGGTGTCCTATTTCAGGTATCACTGACTGCCTCCGTAGTGTAGTGGTTAGAGTGTCCGCCCGGAGAGCGGAAGGTCGCAAGTTCGATCCCCGACCGCGTCATACCAAAAGACGTTAAAATATGGTACTTGTTGGTCCCTGCCTGGCCCTCGGCATTAATGGGTACAACAAGGACTGGTTGGCTCGGAGTCAGTATAATGTGTCTGAGTGGGGTATTCATGCTTCACTGCGGCATGGTATCTCAGTGGGCTAGCACTATGAAACCAGCTTCAGTCTGGGCTAGTACAAGCAGCCGCACATACACATACACACGCATGCACGTCGTCATATGAGCGAAATATTCTCAAGCACGACGTTAAACCCAATTTCACCTCACCTCACCTCAGGTATCACTGCCACCACTACCTGATCAAGAGGATTTTTTCACAGAAATTCAGCAGCCAGAGGCCCTTCTCTTTAGCACCAGAGCTTAGCACAAACTACCTTCCAGCCTAAGATCATTGTCTTCACTCAAGAATCCAGACCATGTTTTATTGTATACAGGGTTGCTATCTCTGGTATACCAGTTCCCCAAGTAGGATTCAACAGACCCCAGGATGATTATCAATCTCAAGATCCTCACCTGGAAATACCTCCCAAGTTTCGGGTGAAGTCCATGCAGAACCTCAGACAAAAAATCACAGTAGCAGACTGTCTAATTTCCACAGACCTGCAGGATGCATGTCTACCTGTTTTGATTCATCCAGACTCTATGAGATAACAATGCTTTGCAGTCAGATGCATTACTCACAGGATCTCTAAGGGCTAGTCAGAACTTGGCGCTACACCTAAGGAATGCCTCCATACTTTTCACCATGGTCACTTCTACTATAGTAGCTTATGTCAACAGGCTTGGGGGAACCCACTCTCATGTCCTTATGGAGCTTGTAAAAGAGAACTTTACGATCTAAGTTACAGTCTGAACTGCCATGGCCAGACACATCACAGGGAAGATCAGCATCACATACTAGTATATGCATTTCCACCAACATTGATAATCCCACACATCCAATCCAACATCAAGAATCAGCATGGCTAACACACTCATGGTTTCCAGATCTCACAGGATCTGACGTTGACCGCCAATAGGTCTACCTCTTTGGCCAAGTCAGACTGATTCCATCGCTACCTGGAATAGCTCCACTTACACATATGGAAACTATCCAGTGACACCTCGCGTCAGCAGGATGTTCTCAAAGAGTTTCCTCAGCTGTTATGCTTTCAGTCAGAGCTTCAACATGTGCCTTTTATGAATTGAAGTGGAACCAATTCCAGCAGTGGAGCCATCTTTTGCATGGCACCATAAAAGAATATTGCTTGTCTTTGGCATCTGTCACTAAGTAAGAGATTCATATTGGGAAGTATGTTATGACTTTTGAACTAGAGGATACCCCAGGACAATGCATAACAACTAAATGGGATTTTTTAGTAGTATTATCAGGATTAGTAACTACCTTCGTTGGATGTATGCTGGTTTGGAAAGATCTGTCTAGAGTGGCAATTAGAGCACTGACAGAGTTCTTCTCCAAGAATCAAAAGTCATCAATTGGACAAGCATCACTATCCCAGTTTTTATCCCCTGCAACGCGTTTTGCGGGGGGTATTAAAATGGACTCCATCCGTCCGTGCACATTTGTCTTTTCCGGAGCAGAACTCTAAAACCGTTCAATATTTCTTCACCAAACTTGGCACATACATAGGTCTGGTGGTGTACTGGTGCCTTTTGGTAGTTTGGGAATTCTGAATACAATATTTTTGGTGTTTTCATGGCAACAAGTTTGATTTAGCCTAAAATTGGTGGTTGTGCTCTTTTCCCGGAGGAGAACTCTAAAACCGTTCACTAGTTCTTCACCAAACTTGGCACATAGATAGATCTGGTGGTGTACTGATGCCTTTTGGTAGTTTTGGAATTCTGAATAAAATATTTTTGGCATTTCTGTGGCAACTAGTTTGACTTAGCCTGAAATTGGTGGTAGTGCTCTTTTCCTCCGGAGAACTCTAAAACCATTCACTATTTCTTCACCAAACTTGGCACATAGATTGGTCTGGTGGTGTACTAGTGCCTTTTGGTAGTTTTGTAATTCTGAATAAAATATTTTTGGCGTTTCTATGGCAACAAGTTTGACTTAGACTGAAATTGGTGGTAGTGCTCCTTTCTGGAGCAGAACTTTAGAAACCTTTCAATACTCTCCTTCCACTTTTCTATATACACACCTAAATATTGGACATAATCATAACTCGTAGACATAATCATGAAGAATATTTTGCCATTGCGGGGGATATTGATGACTTTGTCTTCTTGTTGCTCATACTTTGCAGTGCATCCTACCTGACAGGGTTTTATGCCCAAAGAGATAAAAATGGTACTTGCATAGGACTGATGCAGTCAGTTGTGGACATAGCTGTCTGTGGATATCTTATCAAGAAAAGTCTCAGAAAGATATTTCCAAAAACACACTGGTGGTCTGGAATAATAAAACTATAAAGCTGACTTGCACTTTGGCAGAAAATCAGCCGCCTTCTTATGGTTCCAACAGATACATCTCATCTACTGGCAATCAAGCAACGAATTCTCAGGATTGGAATCCTTTGTCATTCCTCATGGAGTTACTGCGCCAATTCCTGCTGATTTGAACAATGAGGATCTCCAGCTTGAACTAGGCATACAAGATAGTACCATATATAGCTAGAATATTGCTGACTGCGGCGTTAAACTACCAAACAATTAAGTTAGTCCAAAATATATTTGAGTTGGTTCATATCGGGGCTCCTTGAAGGCCATGGTAATGTTTTGATATTGTTCTGCAAATGGGTGATGAAAGCATAAGAATGGTGATGTCTGGCATTGTCATCCATGAATATCTGATGGCTGACTTCTTTGCCATGGGGGCATGGGATTGTGTATTGGCCGATGAATTTGGACTTGGTCATCACAGTCATTGGTCTTCAGGTCTTTGACGATCCTTTACTGCACTCCTGGCCTCATACTTCCTCACAAGTATGTCAACTAATTACGGTTCAGGTCAGCACAGATGTTGCAAACATTACATCCCAGCGACATGAATGCCAGTAACTTGCTTTTGGTTATTTTCTAAAAGTGCATCAAGAAAAGTTCCTTAATGTTTGTTTACTGTCATCTTATAAATCCGTTCACAAAACTGTAGCGCTTACACCGCAATTATGAAATTTTATACCCCATAGCACCTTCATAGTTGGCACGTGAACAAGTGACCCATATTTTTATCCCCCGCAACGCGTTTTGCGGGGGGTATTAAAATTGACTCCGTCCGTGCGTGCGTGCGTCCGTCCGTCCGTGCACATTTGTCTTTTCCGGAGCAGAACTCTAAAACTGTTCAATATTTCTTCACCAAACTTGGCACATAGATAGATCTGGTGGTGTAATGGTGCCTTTTGGTACTTTTTCCGATTCTGAATAAAACATTTTTGGCGTTTCCATGGCAAAAACTGACTTAGCCTGAAATTGGTGGTAGTGCACTTTTCCGGAGCAGAACTCTAAAACCGTTAACTATTTCTTTACCAAACTTGGCACATAGATAGATCTGGTGGTGTACTGGTGCCTTTTGGTTGTTTTGGAATTCTGAATAAAACATTTTTGGTGTTTCCATAGCAACAAGTTCGACTTAGCCTGAAATTGGTGGTTGTGCTCCTTTCCGGAGGAGAACTCTAAAACCGTTCACTTTTTCTTCACCAAACTTGGCACATAGATAGATCTGGTGGTGTACTGGTGCCTTTTGGTAGTTTTGGAATTCTGAATAAAATATTTTTGGCATTTCCATGGCACCATGGCAACAAATTTGACTTAGCCTGAAATTGGTGGTTGTGCTCTTTTCCAGAGGTGAACTCTAAAACCGTTCACTTTTTCTTCACTAAACTTGGCACATAGATTGGTCTGGTGGTGTACTGGTGCCTTTTGGTAGTTTTGAAATTCTGAATAAAATATTTTTGGCTTTTCCATGGCAACAAGTTGACTTAGCCTGAAATTGGTGGTAGTGCACTTTTCCGGAGCTAAATTCTAAAACCGTTCACTATTTCTTCACCAAACTTGACACATAGATTAGTCTAGTGGTGTACTGGTTCCTTTTTGGTAGTTTTGGAATTGGTGATAGTGCTCCTTTCTGGAGCAGAACTTTAAAAACCTTTCAATACTCTCCTTTACACCTAAATATTTGACATAATCATACCTCGTAGACATAATCATGAAGAGTATTTTGCCATTGCGGGGGATATTGATGACTTTGTCTTCTTGTTTATATATTGTTTGAATACATGTACTTTCTTGGTGCTCAGTTAATGCTCTTGTGTATATATGTAATGTATTTTCCTACTCTCGGTCAGGAACACATTTTACAGTACTTCGCACAATATTTTCTCACAGTGAATGAACTACAGACATGTGTGGTCATGTCCAGCAATTTACAGTCAATTCCTTTCATGTCTTCACAGGGCACAACCATGTTTGAAATCGGGATCAAAGTGGTGGTTATAGTTGCAGTCAGGATCAAGGGTGCAGTCACACTTGTAGTTGGGTTCATGGTTGTAGTCATGGTTGAATTTGGGAATGATGGTGTAGTCATACTTGACATCAGGTTCGATGTTGTTGTTATCCCTCTCTGGAAACACAAATCAAATTATTCTCGTTTAGTCATTGACACTGTGTAATGATTGTTGTCAATCCAAAGAATGGTATACAACAAACTTTCTTCAAAGAGTGAGTGAGTGAGTTTGGTTTTACGCAGCACTCAGCAATATTCCAGCTATATGGCGGTGGCCTGTAAATAATTGAGTCTGGACCAGACAATCGAGTGATCAACAGCATGAGTAACGATCTGCGCAATTGGGAACCGATGACATGTGTCAACCAAGTCAGTGAGCCTGATCACCCGATCCTGTTAGTCGCCTCTTACGACAAACATGGGTTACTGAAGATCAGTATTCTATAACCCGGACCTTCACGGGTATCTTCAAAGAGGCAGCTATATAAGACTTGTTTGTATTTTGTTTTTTGAGACAACTGTTGAGTTAGTAGTCATAGGAACTGGTTGGAGCATACAGCATTTTGATGACATTTGGAAACAAAGTTGGCAGCAGTGGTTGGAGGATGCAATTTCCAGTGTTAACTTGTTTGTACCAATGGTGTGGCAGGACATGCTCACATTTTTCAAACACATTTGTCTCGTCACAATTTGGTAGTTATTCATAAACACATGCTTATGATATATACAAGCAAGAAAAAGTAACTGTCTCATATGAACTTTCGTAAATGTTATGTAATTGAAAGTAACAGAATAATATATGGCCCTTCATCTGATATAACATATGTTATATTTGGGATTACACTTTCTCAGTAAAGTACAGATTCTAGTACTTTTGTTCGGTTGAGTCCCATCTGGGATTCGCATCCACACCCTCTCAAAGTCAGGCACCTTATCGCCAGCACACAAAGTCAGCCGCCTAACCTGCTCAGCCACCGCGACTATCCGACTTGTTCCAAGTTGACTGTGGTTATGTTGGTGTCAGAGGCTTTGTTCCATCTCATTACAGACATGATTTATAGACTGCCTCTATGGTGTAGTGGTTAGAGCGTCCGCCCTGAGAGCGGAAGGTCGCTGGTTTGATCCCCGGTCATTCCAAAAGACGTTAAAATATGGTATTTGTTGGTGCCTGCCTGGCGCTCAGCATTAATGGGTACAACAATGACTGGTTGGCTCGGAGTCAGTTTAATGTGTCTGAGTGGGGTATCCTCCTTTACAAGGATGTGTTATGTCTCTGTTGAGTTCCAGTGCCACCTCTTCCAACTTCCACAGTTCATACAACTCTGCCACTAATTTGTCTCAAACCAGGAATTGTAAACGCTGTTAATGTGGCAGTGAGGAATAGATTCCTAGACACACTGATCTACCATGACTCTTTTATTGACATGTTGGGTGTTGCCATGTTGTCGATAACATCTCTAGATAGATATTATGCAACAATGAAGGTTAAAGATTGAAAGTTAATGTGAAACACAGTTACTTTTTATCAAAGGTAAAATCAGCTCAGCATTTAACACAGTTAAAATTCTAATCATAATCATAATCATCTATCTTCTCGGATGCTATGTTGCTTTTAATAGTACCCGTGAAGATCCGGGGTAGAATAGGTCTTCAGCAACCCATGTGCTTGCCATAACAAGGCGACTATCTTGTCGTAAGAGGCGACTAACGGGATCGGGTGGTCAGTTTCGCTGACTTGATTGACAAATGTCATCGGTTCCCAATTGCGCAGATCGATGCTCATGCTGTTGATCACTGGATTGTCTGGTCCAGACTCGATTATTTACAGACCGCCGCCATATAGCTGGAATATTGCTGAGTGCGGCGTAAAACTAAACTCACTCACTCACTCACTGCTTTTAATAGTACACAAATATTATTGATAGATTTCCCATATCGGACATAATCTGGCAATAGTTTTTTAGCATCATACTCCAGACATACATGTTGGCCTCCCAGAAACTAACAAGGATTTGTGATGCCTGCAGGTTGCTAAGCCAATATGTTCCAAGTAATGGGGACGTACCTGAATCACATGTGCGGCCCTTCCAGCCTGGTTGACACAGACAGTAGAAGGAAGGCACTCCACTGAAGACTTTGAAACACTTGCCATGAACACAGGGTGAGGGTGAACACAGATCAAGGACTGGAACAAAATATATCAAAGTATTCACCCTTGCCATTTCTCTCCTACAATAGAAAGGACTATTGCACATGTTGATTGCCCAGTCAGAGATCATTTCACAAGATTAACAGCAGAATTCCAAAAATGTGGTTGCTGTTATGGCTACCGTCATCAGCTGAGGACAAATATGTTGCTAGAGGTTGGTAGTTTTCAGTCAAATCGCCCAAGTACTTTTTTAATATCACATTTTTTAAGGGACTCAAGTCACGTTCTACACAAGGCAGAATGAGGACAACCCCAAAACAGTAGCCTTGAAATGGCAAGGGCGAAGCAAAGCATTATTACAGGCAACATAGCACTCTTGCCGTGGGAAGATCATCCAGATCCTGCACATGTTAACCATGCCCAATGATGTTAATTATCCATGCCCTTATTATGATTTACCCACCTTCTACGCATGTACGTGTATGCTACATTATTTGCTGTTGTGCGATGTTTAATGCAAAAACATAATAACAGAATTTGTGGTGTTTTTCTTAATCACTGTTTAACTTTTGACATGATAATATTGAAATCTGTATGATTTGACTCAAGACATTGTGGCACGCCCTTTGAGAGATGTGGTGTCAAAAGTCAGTTCACAAATTCAGTACCGTTGATGCAGGCTTGACAGTGATGACACATATACAACACTAAGCGATTGAAGAAAGCTTCTGGGAATGTTGTTCCATGTCTGAACCAACGTTTGTCCAAATTCAGCTGACGTCAATGGCTGATTCTGGGCATGGCGTAAACGTCGCTACATTTCATCCCAAGCATGCTCGATTGGGAACAGGTCAGATCATCTGCACTATCACACAGTCCCTAATACATGCTTTACCTACTCTCTTCACTATCATACAGTCCCTAATGCATGCTTTACCCACTCTGTGCACTATCATACAGTCCCTAATATACTATCCCAAAAAAGAAACGCATAGGCGTTTTGTATTTGTAAATATCTATTAATTACCAGTTGTGTTCAAACAATCGTCAAAATATGTAACAAAAGTGTTGATAACATGATTTTACACTATTGCACAAGTGAAAAATCCACTTCACCTGAAAATGTTGATTTTGATGAGATTTCTTACAAGAATTAAAAAGGCATCGCCACAACACGAGAAATCACCTTCCAGTTGAAATTGTGCAGCAAAGAGCATGCACTTTTGGAAATCGGCATTCGTTTTTAAGGAGTTTCAAGGTCAAATCACTACGCTACGTCATGACGCTGCAACACAGAACATCGCCACTGAAAGAACGCACGCTGGAGATTGCCAATTTTCTGTTGCCATGTGTCTGAATGTTAGTCTGAGCACGATATTACTGCTTGCAGCTCGTTACAACCAAACAGGTATAACAAATGACCGTCCCGTACAGGCAGACCTCGAGTCACCACTGCAGCCCAAGATAGGTACATCCGGGTACTACATTTGCGTGATCTTACTGCCACGGGTGAGGGCACAGCAGCAAGGGTGCCTGGACTTCGGAGGGTATCCGGTCAAACTGTACGGAACAGGTTGAGAGAAATTGGACTCAGAGCCAGGAGACCCGACGTCGGGACCATGCTACGTGGTCACCATCACGCTCAGCTTCTCCGTTATCTAAAATTATCCACTTGAATTGGTTGTATACACATTACCTTCTTCTAAACTGATGTACAAATTCATTTACTAAAGTCTATTTGTGGACGAGTTATACATGTTTGAAAATACAACATTTTCGCAACAGATTTCTGGGTTATGCGTTTCTTTTTTGGAATAGTATACATGCTTAACTTACTATCTGCACTGCATACAGTTCCTTATCCATGCTTTACCAACTCTGTGCACTATCATACAGTCCCTAATACATGCTTTACTTACTATCTGCACAATCATACAGTCCCTAATACATGCTTTACTTACTATCTGCACTATCATACAGTCCCTAATACATGCTTCACTTACTATCTGCACAATCATACAGTCCCTAATACATGCTTCACTTACTATCTGCACTATCATACAGTCTCTAATACATGCTTTACTTACTATCTGCACTATCATACAGTCCCTAATACATGCTTTACTTACTATCTGCACTATCAGACAGTCTCTAATACATGCTTTACTTACTATCTGCACTATCATACAGTCCCTAATACATGCTTCACTTACTATCTGCACAATCATACAGTCCCTAATACATGCTTTACTTACTATCTGCACTATCATACAGTCCCTAATACATGCTTCACTTACTATCTGCACTATCATACAGTCCCTAATACATGCTTTACTTACTATCTGCACAATCATACAGTCCCTAATACATGCTTTACTTACTATCTGCACTATCATACAGTCTCTAATACATGCTTTACTTACTATCTGCACTATCATACAGTCCCTAATACATGCTTCACTTACTATCTGCACTATCAGACAGTCTCTAATACATGCTTTACTTACTATCTGCACTATCATACAGTCCTAATACATACATGCTTTTTTACTATCTGCACAATCATACTGTCCCTATCATACAGGTCTTTAATACATGCTTTACTTACTATCTGCACTATCATACAGTCCCTAATACATGCTTTACTTACTATCTGCACAATCATACAGTCTCTAATACATGCTTTACTTACTATCTGCACAATCATACAGTCCCTAATACATGCTTTACTTACTATCTGCACAATCATACAGTCCCTAATACATGACAGTCCCTAATACACTTTTACTATCTGCACAATCATACAGTCCCTAATACATGCTTTTACTTACTATCTGCACTATCATACAGTCCCTAATACATGCTTCACTTACTACTATCACAATCATACAGTCCCTAGTCCCTAATACATGCTTTTTACTTACTATCTGCACTATCATACAGTCCCTAATACATGCTTTTTTACTTACTATCTGCACAATCATACAGTCCCTAATACATGCTTTACTTACTATCTGCACAATCATACAGTTTCTAATACATGCTTTACTTACTATCTGCACTATCAGACAGTCTCTAATACATGCTTTACTTACTATCTGCACTATCAGACAGTCCCTAATACATGCTTTACTTACTATCTGCACTATCAGACAGTCCCTAATACATGCTTTACTTACTATCTGCACTATCATACAGTCCCTAATACATGCTTTTTACTTACTATCTGCACTATCATACAGTCCCTAATACATGCTTTTACTTACTATCTGCACATTATCATACAGTCCCTAATACATGCTTTACTTACTTACTATCTGCACAATCATACAGTCCCTAATACATGCTTTTACTTACTATCTGCACAATCATACAGTCCCTAATACATGCTTTTACTTACTATCTGCACAATCATACAGTCCCTAATACATGCTTTTACTTACTATCTGCACTATCATACAGTCCCTAATACATGCTTTTTACTTACTATCTGCACAATCATACAGTCCCTAATACATGCTTTTACTTACTATCTGCACTATCATACAGTCCCTAATACATGCTTTTACTTACTATTTAATAATCATACAGTCCCTAATACATGCTTTTACATTTTACTATCTGCACTATCATACAGTCCCTTTAATACATGCTCTTACTTACTATCTGCACAATCATACAGTCCCTAATACATGCTTTTACTTACTTTATCTGCACAATCATACAGTCCCTAATACATGCTTTACTTTTACTATCTGCACAATCATACAGTCCCTAATACATGCTTTACTTACTATCTGCACAATCATACAGTCCCTAATACATGCTTTTTTTATCTACTATCTGCTATCTGCACAATCATACAGTCCCTAATACATGCTTTTACTTACTATCTGCACAATCATACAGTCCCTAATACATGCTTTTACTTACTATCTGCACAATCATACAGTCCCTAATACATGCTTTTACTTACTATCTGCACTATCATACAGTCCCTAATACATGCTTTACTTACTATCTGCACAATCATACAGTCCCTAATACATGCTTTTACTTACTATCTGCACAATCATACAGTTTCTAATACATGCTTTTACTTACTATCTGCACTATCAGACAGTCCCTAATACATGCTTTTATTTACTATCTGCACTATCAGACAGTCTCTAATACATGCTTTACTTACTATCTGCACTATCAGACAGTCCCTAATACATGCTTTTATTTTACTATCTGCACACAGTCATACAGTCCCTAATACATGCTTTACTTACTATCTGCACTATCAGACAGTCTCTAATACATGCTTTTTACTTTACTATCTGCACAATCATACAGTCCCTAATACATGCTTTTACTTACTAATCTGCACAATCATACAGTCCCTAATACATGCTTTACTTACTATCTGCACAATCATACAGTCCCTAATACATGCTTTACTTACTATCTGCACTATCATACAGTCCCTAATACATGCTTTACTTACTATCTGCACTATCATACAGTCCCTAATACATGCTTCACTTACTATCTGCACAATCATACAGTCCCTAATACATGCTTCACTTACTATCTGCACAATCATACAGTTTCTAATACATGCTTTACTTACTATCTGCACTATCAGACAGTCTCTAATACATGCTTTACTTACTATCTGCACTATCAGACAGTCCCTAATACATGCTTTACTTACTATCTGCACAATCATACAGTCTCTAATACATGCTTTACTTACTATCTGCACTATCATACAGTCCCTAATACATGCTTTACTTACTATCTGCACAATCATACAGTCTCTAATACATGCTTTACTTACTATCTGCACCATCATACAGTCCCTAATACATGCTTTTATTTACTATCTGCACAATCATACAGTCCCTAATACATGCTTTTACTTACTATCTGCACAATCATACAGTCTCTAATACATGCTTTTTACTTACTATCTGCACAATCATACAGTCCCTAATACATGCTTTTACTTACTATCTGCACAATCATACAGTCCCTAATACATGCTT